TACATGATAAGATTTGAGCTGAGTCTTGAAGAAGCCAGGGAATTCAAAAGGCAGAGAGCACTCCAGCTATGTAAAACAACCAGTGAAAAGGCACAAAGTTAGGAGATGGAATGTCACATTCAAAGAGCAGAAAGGGAATTTATGTATGCTTTCACTGTGTGTATGTGTGTGTGTGTGTGTGTGTGTGTGTCTGTCTGTCTGTAATGGAGGGAGGGAATAAGGGGGAAAGGAAAAGGATAGAGAGTGGGTATCATTTCCTTGTCATCCCCAATTGATATGGCCCTGGGATACAGTTCCAGATGATGAAGGGTTGGCATGGTAACAAAATGTTAACAGCAAGTGATTCTTTTATAAAGCATAAATTTCATACTGCTCTCTGATTCTCGAAAGGAGGAATCAGCTCATTAGCTTGGATGAAAAATGACCATCCCTCTTATAGCTTAAAATAGAGAGAGAAGGCCAGGACTTGAAAAGTTGAAAACAGTCAAAAAGAGAGTCAGCAGTCAAGGAAGAACCCATATCTTTACTTCTCTGGGGAGGGGAGACGCAGGAGAATGTTTTCTCCCTCCTCCACCATATGCCATATAATGTGGCAACAGAGCTACTTGCTCAGGGGAAGTTATTTCATTCAATAGTTGGAGAGTTCAAGAGATCCTAAGGCACAGTTGAGAAATTAGATTCCAGATAGACACATACAGGGAGGGAGTCACTCAAGGTTAAAAGATGCTTCCTAGAATGGGACCTCTGGAAGCAAAGAGAGCTGGTTATGAATTCAAAAAACAATCCAGCTGTAGCAGTTGAGAGTTAGGCTATGTAGAATAATTATTTCTGGGAGTCCATCTAAGCTACCACCCCCCCAACAGAAAAGCTATACCCAAAGATTGGGCTTCCTTAGGAATCTACAGGACAGAAAGAAATTTTAGTCGAAGAGTGAGTAGTTTTGGCCACATATGTACCCTATCCTGTTTGTGCTCTAGGCTTGTGCCACCTCTTCCAATGAACATTTTGTGAACTTATGTGAGACTAACCCAAGTTTAAGCTTACAAACTACAGTAAGAGATCTGACCACAGACTCTTTAAAACATTGGAGTAATAGTCACTCTATGGCATATAACCCACAAGTGCAAATGCAAGTTGGAGAAGTATCTCATAGGGGCTACTACATCAGCAAAAGAATATAGCAGAACACTAAAATCTTGGAAAAGATAAGTAGCCATAAAAACATATACTAGAAATAAATAGGCCACACATTTTACTAAAGATAATTTGAGTCTGAGGTGATATAAAAAGCATCAAGGACCTGAATGACCAGAAAAATAGTGAGGCCTTAAGAAGAATGAAAAAGAACAGAGAGGTTAAGTCCTAGTGATCATTGTGATTTTTGAAATACATTAGTTGTTGTTATAGTTATAATGACAAGCCTCCAATAAGGAGTCACTTAAGCTAAGTGATCCTAATGCCATAAAATATAGACATTGTAGATAGCTTGTACTTTTCTACTTTTTCCTACTGTCTCATTCCGACCCTATGTCAAGCAGTAATGATCACAGCTGAATGGGACAACTGGCCAACTGTGAGCTGTGAGCTACGCCTATCCCTAGGATCTCTGATTACCAACTCAAAAAGCTTCTGGTCCCCACAAGGAAGTTCACTCCACTTGAGCCTTGTATCAGATAAGTAACAGAGAATTTCCCCACCAAATCTGGGTCTGACTAGGAATGGCCTCTCTCTCACACATCTCGCTTTGATTAATAGTCCTCAACCAAGCCCATTTTTAAGCTATACAATATCCCTGTTTGGACCTCTTTTCTGAGCCTGTACTACCACTGAGATCTTGGACCCTGTACATGCCTCACTCTCCCTCAAGGTGCATGAGTTTCTTTGCATCTGTGTGGCCAAAACCCCATCTGTATTGCATGTGTAGGGGTTTTTGTTTGTTCGCTGTGCTGTATGATAATAAAATTCATGTTTGCAGTAGTTTCTGAATACTAGTTTCCTGTGAATCTTCTAACCCAAGCTGTGAGGTCAAATACAGCAGCTCTATATCCCAGATACATAAAAGGAATTGGGATAAAGATTCCAGGATGTTGGATGGATTTTTAATTTAAGCTACTATGGATAAGAAAGCGAAAGGAGTAACTACATCAATAAAGCCATGGATCCAGCAGTGTACTGGGAAATATTTCGAGCTGGTAAACTACCTCAATAAAAAGGACACATGACACACTTTTAAGGTTAATCTGAATTATTAACATTTTCTCCATCACTTTGGTAAGCCTAAACAATCAGCAAAACAATAAATTAAGAAATGGTTGTAATGACTGTCAAATTCCAACATTCACACTGAAAATCTAACAGTTGAGCTCGCTTGTATGTATAGCTAGGAGCAAAATCCAGTAATCTCTACATGAACCCATCTCACCCTCCAAAAATAATTAAAAAAAAGAATAAGTATGATGTGCTAAAGTATCCTTCAAGGAATATAAAAATATAAGACATAGAACTGCCCTTAAAGCACCATCCAGAAGATGAGGTAAAACTAACATACCTTTGGCAAAGATAGATCTCGTTGCTTATGTTAACATCTTTGCAGCCAACAATAACTTTTAAATAACACCTAACAAGAAAAATTTTATGGATAACGACAAAAGGATTATAGATTTAGAGAAAGAAAAGATATCATTTAAAGGTCATCTAGTCCGACTCCCTCATTGTTCAGATGAGGAAACTGAGGCTCAAAAACATTAAGTGACTTGCCCACAGTCACACACTTAGTAAACAAATGTTTGAACCTAGGTCTTCCTGACCACAAGGCTAGCACACTATCCACTAATACCACATGTTTGATTAGAAATCTTCAAAGCTGTATTTATCATCAAGTCAAATAATAAATCAAATAATAAATATGACATAGTTTTATACCTCTCAATCAACTGTATGAATATAAAGATTGCTCTAGTACAGAAAATAGCTTAGAAAATCCTTTTTCATTTCTTTCTTATATTTTCACTAAAGATAATTACCAATGTATGTGTAAGTGATTCACATAAAGACAATAGCCAGATGAAGGGGCAATTGATATTTGCTTATTTTTTCCTTAAAAAAAAAAAACACCTTCTGTGAACTTGTCACCTCTTTTAAAAATTTTCACTCAAGATATTTTGAGAAATGATTCCTGAGCACCTTTAAATATATGTTAATCCCCTTCAGGCATACAATTTTTCCTTAAAATTTTTATTTTCAAATATATATATTCCTTAAAAGTTTTATTTCCAAATATAAAAATGAAATAGGAGACAAAAAGAGTTTCCAAGCTGTCAGAAAAAGGTATGGTCAGTCAGGTAAAGACAGTTAACAGTAGAAAAAATTAGAAATATTAAAATAAACCAATTTTAGGCCACACCTAGGTTTTATAGCCAATTCAATGAGCATTTATTAAGCACCTACTAGATGCTAGGCACTGTGCAAAGTAACGGGAGTACAAAAAGAGTCCAAATATAATCCCTGACCTCAAGCAATCCAAAACCTAAAACAAGAAAAATTGGCAGGGGGGAATAAGATAACCTATATTCAAGCCAGTACTATGTATATTTGAACTTCTGAATGCAGAGAAGAGGATAGGGGTTAGGTTAAATGGTAGAGACAGCCCAACTTCCTGTGTGTGGAGAAAAAAATTAGGGTAGAAGGGCATGTCGGCAGAACTATAACAGGAAAGGTTGGGTTATGGGTTTTAGAAACAATCAAGTAATCAACAAACATTTATTAAATATCTACTCTGTGCCAGGCATTATACCAGGAGCTGAAGTTGGGTGGAAGAAATATAAAAATGAACCACTTTCTACCTTCAAGAAACTTAGATATGAAAGGAGATAAGTGGTTTTGTACCCAGAAGCCACATTGCCAATTTAAGTGTATGAGGGAAGCAGGGAGATGTGGAATATGTAAAGGGAAAAAATAGCATAACTTATGTTTACTCACTTTCTTATTTATGCTTGAATGTGCTTTAATCAGGCAGAAAACAAAAATACAGGTTTCACAAAAGAGATAAAAACACACTTCAAAAGCTTTACATTTTTTGTTCAAATGAGAATGAGTTTCAGTCAATTTATCAACAAATTACAAGATGCTTCTCCATTTTTGTTTTTGTTTTTCAGGTGAAGTACACACATAAAGAAAGAATAAGGATCAGAAAAAATGAGGTTAAATACAAAAGATAAGATGAAGGGTTCCAGTTTTGCTTTTGGTGGTTCCTTTAAACTGGGTATAGTTGAACAGAAGCCAGGTACTATTTTGTGTTGTGTGTGTGTGTGTGTGTGTGTGTGTGTGTGTGTGTGTGTGTAACTTAATAGCTAACAAAGCTGTAGGTAAAGCTTGTAATAACTGATAAACTCTTGAAAGGCAGTGTGGTATGTTGGATAGAATATTGAAGTCAAGTAAACCTGGGTTTGAATATTGCCTCTACTAGCTGTGTGATCTCCATAAAGTCACAACCTCTCAGAGCTACAATTTCCTCATTTGTAAAACAAGAGTGTTAGAATCAATGAACTCTAAAGTTTCTTCTTCTAAGCTAATGCATTTACACATTCATTAATTTACATATATGTGTACGTATGTAGGTATTTAAACTTTTTTTTTAATAGGACTGAGATAGAAGAGCTCTAGACCTGTGATTTTATCATTGTAGGAAATTCCAGGTTACCTGATCTTCAGCTTAAGAGTCTTAGAGACTTGTCATGGAACACTGAGTTGTTAACTTCTCCATGCTCACACAACTAGTACAATTCAGAGGCAAACTGTAAATCAATCTGTTATCTCAAATTGTCTATCTACTTCAACATGCTGTTTAAAGAAGGTTTCTTAATTGAGTTGTCACTATCTTAAACATTGTATTTCTACACAGAATTTGTATCATTTAAAGGAATCAGCAAGATAACCTTAATGGTTATTTAAAATTGTAAAAGAAAAATAGTAAGAAGAAGCTTTCTCAGCTCTTTACTTACAGTACACATCCACTCTAATTGACTTTATTGCTGGAGATCCCAAACCATTTTCTGCTTTACAGTAGTATCGGCCTCCTTGGTGTCTTTGAATATTTGTAATCCTCAAAGTCTCATTGAAGACACTTGAATCTTGAAATCTATCAGAGGCACTTCCTGCTGTTTTGGTCCATCTGATCTGAGCAAGTATCCAAAAAGAAAAAAAGTTTGTTACTTTAGGTTAGCTGTGTGCTCACAGAACAAATTAATCTGAACATCTCTGAATAATACACTTTCTAAGAGGATAATACATCTCATTCCTCTAAAGGATTGTTTAAAAATATTCAGTTACATGTATTTTATAAGTGAAGTATATTTTATAATTTTTCTCTGATTATCCAGCTTTTAAAAGCAAATGACATTGATATGGTGCTCTAAAACTGACAGGTTTTTTTAAGACATTATTTCAGTTGAGCTGCAAAAAAACTGAGAGGAAGTAGGTACTTTATTAACTCCATTTTACAAATGAGGAAACAAAAGCTCACAAATATTATGCAAATTCACTTCTAACACTTGATTTACAAATAAAATATAGATAACTCCAATTTCACTACAGAGAAATCAGCAACAGTTCTATTTATATTGTGTTCCATGGGAGAGGGAGGCAGGAGAACAACTAAAAGTTTCATAATATTTTTTTAAAAGCATTATGAGATCATGAACATTTCACAACTATAGCAAGAGAGATCGTTACTAACCCAACAAGAAATATAGCAGATTATAAGAGTCAAAATAGAATTCTTTGACTATGTAATACCACTACTAGGTCTGTATCACAAAAAAATCCAACAAAGTGAGGAAAGGGAGAGGAATTATTTGTACAAACATATTTAATGGTGGCTAAGAATTGGAAATTTAGGTGGAGCCAAGATGGCAGAATAAAAGCAATGACTTCCTTGAGCTCTCCCCCAAACCCCTCCAAATACCTGTAAAAAATGGCTCTAAACAAATTTTAGAGCAGCAGAACCTACAAAAAGAGTGAAACAAATTTCCAGACCAAGACAACCCGGATGATTGATTAGAAAGGTCTATTGTGTAGGGCTGGGAAAGGAGCACACTTCAGCATGGGTGTGCAAGCAAAGAGAACCTGGAGCAGGCCTCAGGGGACTGAATCTTGGGCAGCTGTGGCTGTTTCCAGACTTCTTAACCCACAATTGCCAAAGAGAACTTAGAAGGTCAGTAGGAAAGGTCCATGACCTCGGTGAGAGAGAAACTGGGTCCCAGCTCCAGTCCTGGTGCAATCCTGGGGCAGTGGCTGTTTCTGGAGCTATCTGCCCACAGACTGAGGGAGAATTGAGTGGCTGATCAGAGGGGATTGCAGGGATCTCTTTGCTGGTGCTGAGGCAGGAATCTCTTACTTTGTCCGTACTCGGATCTGGGTCACAGTTCTGGGTAGCAGTCCTGGGGCAACTGGTAGTCTTCCAAGTATTTAGATCTGACTTTACTTGTGTGAAAAGTGTTTTATAATTATGTTCATATAGTTACTGAGTTTGTTTTGGCAGATAAACTCTCATTTTATAATGTCTACAGTAACTCTAAACGGAATTTCTCTTTGTATCTCTTGTTGTTGAACTTTGTTAGCAGCACATAGAAATGCCAATGATTTGTGTGGGTTTATTTTGTTGTTGTTGTCCTGTTTAATATTTTAATAAAATATTAATTATTAAATATTAATTAATATTTTAAATTATTGTTTTAATATCAGTGATGTTTTAATATTTTATATATTTTATTTAATATTAGAATTTATTAAAATGTTAAATAAAATAAAATGAAAATTTTATTTAACATTTTTATATTATTAATGTTAATATTTTTTCTTTAATTTGTTTTTACTTAACAAAAACAATAAAATGTCCTTGTCTATGAATATCTATTATTTATATATTCATAATGATACAGTTTATTGTAATATATTAATAACTCACATGGTTGATTATTACTAATATTTTAAATATATTCATATTTACTATAATTTTATTAGGATCAATTACTGGCTTACAACAAAAACACTCATTATCTTCAGTTCATTTCACTTATACTCATTGCTTGACTACATTAACAATGAGCCATCTGCACTGACACATTTTTACCTGGTGGGATATTTGGTATATCTGATTTGTTGTAATGCATTTTGTCTTTTTGTGGTACCAGACTATGAAAGAGTTCCACTCACTTCATGTCAAGTGCATCAGTATAATGGTTTGGAAGACAGCCACTCTGCAATCCTTTGTCATCCTTTCTATTTCTTAATTTTAGGAAAGTGGTTATACCACAATGTTATGAGATACTAATGCAAACTTCAGAATTAACAATATGAAATGGCTAAAGGGCAGGTACTGATGCATAATAAACTCAGGAGAAAGACTGGACACAAAGATGAAAACTAAACTTATATCAGCTGATGAGATTTCCAAGTGAGAGAATATGTAGAAAGAAAATGTTCATGATCCATAGCAGTGCCCAAACCTACACCCAGAACAACCATCTGTGTACAAGTCTCTTTACATGTGTTCATTTTATATATATATATATATATATATATATATATATACATATTCTTTGCATGTGTTTATCCACATGCTATCTTCCCACAAAAATGTGTTTTCCCTCCATGTGTTTTCTATTCATGCATATCCTCTGTATGAGTATACTATACTACTGATAATGAGGTAACCAGCATAAGGCTATCCTCCTACAAACATAAGGCAATGTTTTGTTGTTATTTAATTTACTATGAACTCTTATTTATGTCCTTTCTCACTGGATAATTGACATTTAATGTATTAGTCAGAGCTTATGACCTATAATATTAGTGAATATTGACTCAAAGAGTACATGAAATGTGGGGAAGATTTTTAAGGCATAACACAAGGGGGGGGGACCTATGTGCTACTTTTTAGAAAAAAATCATAGCTATGACACATGAGCAGGCAAGTTTCATTCTAAAGTTTGACAGCATTGAGACTATGGGCTACAGAGGGAATTCTAAAATGTTTTCTTCAACTACTGATTGATACTGACTCTTATTTTTGTCTTTGTTTTTAAAGCACCGGGAAATTCCTCACCCAATGAGTTCACTATACCAATGAAATCACAAATCTCGTTTTAATCTGTGTGCGTGTGTGTATACACATATATGTGTATATATACATATGTGTATTTTTTTAATTGCCCTAATGATGATAAAGTTTCTGGGGGTTCCATGAATCATTTTCCTATTTGGGAATATAAACAGTTTAACCTTATTAAATCCATTATGATGATTCTTTCATATTCACTTTTTATGCTTCTCTTTTTATTAAGAATGCCTCAAAGTCATCAATTTCATTTGATATCCTTTTTTTTCCTACTGAAGGATGACACTCAGTTTTACTGAGTAGGTTATTCTTAGTCATAATCCAGAATATCATATTCTATACTGTACATTTCTTTAAAGAGATGGCTAAAAAATTACATGAGCTCTTGACTGTGGCTCCATGTTATTTAAATTGTTTCTTTCAGTCTGGTTGCAGAATTTTCTCCTTGACCTGGAAGCCCTGGGACTTGGCTATAATATTCCTGGGAGTTTTCATTTTGAGATCCCTTTCAATAGGTAATTGGAAGATTCTATCAATTTCTATTTTGCCTTTTGGTTCTAAGATATCTAGGCAATTTTTCTTTCTAATTTCAATTTAGCTCTTTTTTGAAAAAAAAATTTACAGTTTTGAGTTTGAAAATATCTCTTTCCCTCTCGTTCCTCCCTCACCCATTGAGAAGGCAAGCAACAGAACATCAACTATACATGTGAAGCCATATAAAATATTTTCCATATTAGCCATGTTGGAAAAAAGGATGAAAAATAAAGGAAGTAAAAAAATATATACCTCAGTCTGCCTTCAGAGTTTGTGAGTTCTCTCTCTGGAGGTGGACAGCATTTTTCATCATAAGCCCTTTAGAATTGTCTTGGATTATTTTATTGATTAGAATAGCTAAGTCTTTCATAGGTGATCATCACAATATGGCTGTTACTGTATACAATATGCACACTTCACTTTGCATTAATTCATATTATTCTTCCAAGATTTTTCTGAAACCATCCCCCTCATCATTTCTTATAACATAATATTATTTCATTATAATAATATATTTCAAATTGTTCATCCATTCCACAATTGATGAACATCCCCCTCAAATTCTAATTCTTTGCCAACACAAAAAGAGCTGCTACAAATATTTTTATACAAATTAGTCATTCTCCCTTTTCTTTGAACTCTTTGAGACAAAAATAGAACTACTAGGTCTATAAGTGGTATAGCTAGGACAAAAATATGTACAGTATTATGGTCCTTTGGACATAATTCCAATTTTTTTTTGTAGAATGGTTCGACCTATTCACTTAGTGAACAACATTAGTGTCCCTATTTTTCCACATTACCTCCAGTATTTGTTGTTCTCTTTTTCTGTCAGGTTAGTCAGTCTGATGGGTGCAAGGTGGTACCTCAGAGATGCTTTAATTTTCATTTTTGTAATCAATAGCAATTTAGAGCATTTTTTCATGTGACAACTAATAGCTTTGATTTCTGCCTATTCATATCCTTTGACAATAGGAGAATGGCTCTTATTTTTATAAATTCAACTTGGTTTCCTATATATTTGAGAAATGAGGTCTTTATATGAAAAATAATGTAAAATTTTTTTCACAACTTTCTGCTTTCCTTCTAATTTTTACTGCATTGGTTTAGCTTGTGTAATTTTTTTTTAATTTCATGCAATCAAAATTGTACATTTTACTTCTCATGATCTTATCTTTGGTTGGTTATAACTCTTCCCTTATTTATAGATCTGACACATAAATGGTTTCCATGCTCCCCTAATTTACTTACACAACCCTAAATGTCAAAATCATGTGCCCGTTTTTACCTTATCTTGTTATACAAAGTGAGTTGTTGGTCTATGTCTAGTTTCTGACAAACTGCTTTCCAGTTTTTCCAGCAATTATTGTCAAATGCTGAGTTCTTGTTCCCAAATTTTGATTCCTTTGGCTTGTGGAACATTAGATTACTGTTTTAATTTACTATGGTATAATGTGTACACATCCTATTCCACTGATCCACAACTCTATTTCTTAGCCAATATCAGATTATTTGATGAATATCA